TCCTGAGTAGCTGGGATTACAGGCACGCGCCACCATGCCCAGCTAATGTTTTGTATTTTTAGTAGAGACAGGGTTTCACCATGTTGACCAGGATGGTCTCGATCTCTTGACCTCGTGATCCACCCGCCTCGGCCTCCCAAAGTGCTGAGATTACAGGTGTGAGCCACAACAGCTGGCCTTTCAGCCTCACTTCTACAGAGGATGAAAGGAGGCTCAGAAAGGGCAAGTATCCCACCCAGCATCACACAGCACGCCAGATGAGAGCTGGGTCATGAGCCTGGGCCTGACTGTAGGTTCCTGTCAAGAGCTCCTGGAGGTGGGGAGTCTGTCCAGAACTGAGAGGGCAGGGGGACCAACATGTCCTCTGACCCCTGGAGGCTGCTGCTGGCTCCCCCAGGGGCAGATGGAGGTCAGTGTCACCCAGGCTGCCTCTCACAGTGCTAAGAGCCCAGCTTGGCAGGAGCCTTTACCTGCGCAGGCGACTCAGAAATGTGGCTACCACAGTCAGACTGCTTGGTGTGCAGTGAGCATTCATCTCTTACCAGACAAGTGGCCAAGCACCTTTCCTGAAATATTGAAGCCTCAGAACAAGCCCCAGGGGAGGTGCCATGACCTCCATCCAGATAAGGAGACCCAGGTCCTGAGAGGTTATGCAGCTTGGACAAGACCACACAGCTCAAGAAGGTCAGACTCTGGGTTCAGAAGGAGAATGTGAGCAGAGCCCACAAAAGAGAGATGAGCCAAGTGCCAGATGCCGAGATGGCCTCGCCTTCCCAGCTTAGCCCCAGGAACCCAGCCCAGGGGGAGGACCCATCAGGGAAAGGCTGTCAGGAAAGGACAGGAGGCAGCCAGGGAGGACAGAGCTGTCCTCAGGGGCAGGAGGGGAGTCCCCTCTGCTGAGAGCCCCCCAGTATCCCTGGGGGTGCCAGGGAGGAGGCAGAGGAAGGAAGCACAGATGGACACCACTCCCAGACAGGTGGGGAGATGTGGTCAGTGACACATACGGTCCCCTCCTGGCAGGTGCTGAAGTCACCTGGCGCCCCAAGCCCGTGGGGCCTGAGGGGCGGGGTCAGGGCGGGCACGTGGGTGGGGTGGGGGAGAACCATCTCTTCCTAGGGCAGAAGAAGAGGTAGGAGGGAGTGCGGTTCGTGGGCAGAGGCGGTGATGGGAAGGGGGTGGGGGCCCTTCATCCCTAGGTCCAGAATCCTCCCCCCGCCCCGGGCCTGCTCCCGCCCCTCCGGCTGAGCTCCGCGCGGGACGGGCCAGGGGGCGGGGTGGGCGCCGCCTTCGAAGGCGGGGGTCCCCTCTCCTTCCGGAGGGTTTGGGAACGGAGCAGCCCCTCCCCCCATCCACGCCCCGCGGCGCAGAGGGCTGTGGCTTTTCCGGCCAGAGCAGGGGGCCCGGGGCACCGCGAAGGGAGGCCCCCGAGGCCGCCGCGGTGTGGGGAGGGCGCAGTCCCCGCTCTCCGGGCTCCGCGTCTGCCCCCCCCCCACCGAGCGCCCGCTCCAGCCCTGCGCTCCCCTGGCGCAGGCAGCGCCCGTCCCGGCTGCGGCTTTGGCGGAGGGTCCCACCCCCCTTCGCCTCCCCGCGGAGGCTCCGTGAGACCCAGATCTAGGGTCGCCGACGCCCCAGGGACTCCGCCCGCACACGGCGAGCGCGCCCACGCGGTCACGAGCCCACGCCCGGGCCTCGGAGCCACCCTGCGGCAGGAGCCCCCTGCGTGGCACGCAGCTCCCCAAGGGGCGAGGCGCCCCCAAGCCCGGCGTCCCGGTCCCCCGCGCCGCAGCCCCTGCCTTTGGCCTTGGGGCGCGCAGCCCCCAGCTCGGGCGGGTCGGGCCCAGGCTCGTCATGCGCAGGGTTGGAGAAGGGAAACCGGCGTCCGCAGCCGGCCCCGGGCTCGGAGGAGGCCAGACGAGGCCCCCGCTCGGCCCCCGCTCGGCCCCCGCCGCCCCAGGAAGCCCCCTGCCCCGGCGCCTACCCGACAAGGTGCTGGCCATGGTGCTGGCGGCGGCGGGGCCTGCGGAGGCTGGAGAGGCGCGGGCGGCGGCCGGAGCTGCTGCTGGCTAGTGCTGCAGTGCTGGGGAGGGGAGGGGGAGCGACGGCGGGCGGGAGGCGGGCGCGGCGGCGGGGGAGAGGGAAGGAAAGAGAGAGAGGGAGGGAGGGAGAGACAGAGAGAGGAGAGAGAGAGAGACTGAGTTGGGGGGAAGGAGAGAGGGAGAGGGAGGGAGAGGGAAGGAGGGACGGAGGCAGGAAGAGACAGAGGAGCCAGCGCCTGGCTGGGAAGGGGCGGCAGCCCTCAGAGGGAAAGGGCGGAGGAGGGAAGGAGGGGTCCGACTGCAACCAGACGCCCTCCCTACAACTGCTCACAGCAGGACAGCTGCTTCCTGAACTTGGCTTTGTGAGGCCTGAGAGTGGGATGCAGATGAGCCCCCCCCTTCCACAGGGCAGGTGGGGCAGGGGCCAGGAAGGAGAGGAGGTCCCACCCCTAGGGTGAGGCCGCCGAGCCCTGCACCCAGGCCCCTCAATTCTGGGCCGGTGCCAACAGGGTCTAGGTCTGTGACTGCCATCGGAGAGGATGCCACAGCCACACGGTGGATGCTGGCCTGGAGGCCTCCAAGGGGCATCTCCTGTGGGCCCAGGGATGGGTAGGACCTGAGCAGAGAAGCGTGAAAGTGAAGTGGTGAGGCCAGAACAAAGGCTGTGCTGTGAAACAGAGGTGGGTTCCCACCCGCCAGGCTCTGAGGTTCACTCACTGTGTGGCCAAGGCCAGGGGCACTGTCTCAACACCTGGGCCTTTGTTTCTCACGTGTAAGATGAGACAATGACACGGCCTCCCAGAGATGGAGAGGTGGGGTGCCAGGGTTGTGTGTGCTTAGTGAGTGGGGGGCAAGCTCTCCTGCCTCCCCCTCTCCTCATAACTCCCAAAGGGAAAGCCTGATAGACAAATGGAGTGTCATTCCATTGCAGGGATGGAGCTGCCCAGGCTGGGAGAAGTGCTTTGCCCTACAAGCAACTAAGTCATGGAGCCAAGAGTAAAACTCTGGCAAACCTCAGGAGACTTGCAGAGCGATGAGGCCGGCACAGCAATGGGAAAGCCAGGGCAAGTGTCACCTCCAGCATTTTTTTGGGCTCCTGAGGCCACCACACCCCAGGGTGGCCTGGAGCGTCCCGGGCCCTGCATGCAAGTGGGTGTTGTCCCTGGGACTGTGATTCTGGTGGATTTGATGCCCGAGAATGTGAAACCACGTGGCACAGAGGTAGCACATAGGACAGGAGGGTCATCAGGTGGGCCCTGACCCCATCACAGGAGCACTTTAAAAGTAGTTTCCTCTGACTGGTTGAAGAAATTGGAGGGGTAAAAGCAAAGGAGGTTCTCTGTTGTTGAGATGAGGCGCTACATGGCAAGGATCTGAGAGCTGTCCCCAGCCAACAGCCAGCAAAACAACACGACCTCAACGGCAAGGAAGTGAGTTCTTCCAACAGGAAGAGAATGTGCTTGGAGGCAGGTTTGACTCCAGGGCCTCCACACAAGAACTCAGCCCACTTCCTTTCAGCCTTAGGATACTAGGAACTGGAAGGTAATAACCGAGGGTTGTTTTAAGCTGTTGAGTTTGTGGTAATTTGCTATGAAGCTCTATCAAACTAATATACACACAGAGCAAGCCCCTGGGCCATTCCTAGGAACCCAGCTCTGGGAAGGAGGAGGAAGGGTGCAGAGGCACACAGAGCTGCCCACCACAGCGCAGCTGTGTCCTCCCTGTTGGCCACCACAGTGGCAGTTGGAGACAGCCTCCTTCTGATGGACTCCAGCCCCAGGTGCGGGAACACAGGTGCTAGGGATCAAGAGGAGTACACCTGTCTGGGACCTCCAGAGTCCTCTCATGTGGGTGGGGTAGGACCAGCCCAGTCAGGCTCAGAGCACTGCAGTACCTCACACTCACTGTGACTCTGGCCAGACCCTCTATGAGCCTGCGTCCTCATCTGGTGCACAGGGACCAGGTGTGTGGAAGCCCGTGGCATAGTGCCAGGAGCATAGATGTGCACACCTAGTGCACACTAGTGGGCATACACGAGGGCACTGATTGTCGGCTGTACTGACTCTCAGCGCGCTAGTGGGCACAGGCTGGCAGGCACACACAACAGCTGTATGGACAGTATACCAGAAGGCACAGGCCATGGTTGTACTGGCAGTGCTTAGCGGGCACACGCAGTAGCTGTACGGACTGTCAGCGTGCTAACGGGCGCACGCCGTAGCTGTGCCGATTGTCAGCGTGCTAACGGGCGCACGCCGTAGCTGTGCCGATTGTCAGCGTGCTAACGGGCGCACGCCGTAGCTGTACTGATTGTTTGCCCCAATATAGCCCCAGGTCTTGGAGCAGATTTTGACTTCTCACCAAGGTCAACTGCAGAAAGTGCATGAGCAGGCATTTCAAAGATGTTTTTCTTCTTTTCCTTTTTTCCAAATCTCTTTAATTAGGGGGAATGGCCTCTAGGGTGCCCTCATTGCAACACTTCTTCACTGGCACTGCCCTCTGAGTCCCTGCTTCTCATCACATTGAGCACCTCATCAGGCTGAGAACGGCTGGGGACACAGGGGCTCACAGGTGTCCTCTGCCGGAAGGCCTTCCCCACGGTGGCAGGGGCCTGTGGCCGTGCTGCTTGGCTGGTGAAGCCACACTTGCCCAGTGTCTTACCATCATCCGAGACTTGGTTGTCCTTGCACAGTTGCTGCTTGTCATGCAGCCGCTTAAGGATGCCTGTGACAATGCGCTTCAGCTCCAACATGTGTTGGACTCCCTGGCGTCCATGAAGACGGTGGTCTTGTGGTGCCAGGTCATGAGGAGCACATTCTGGGGGCAGCGGGCTGGCATGAGCATGAAGCCCGGGACTCCAGCAGGGCCCAGCCACGCCTCTACCACCCTGGCCCCGTGCAGCCTCTCCTCCCCACCTCAGAGATGTTTTTCATGTGCACATGTGCTAGTTAAAAAAAATGGGGTGGGGGGGGCAGGTGGCTCACACCTTAATCTCAGCACTTTGGGAGGCTGAGGTAGGTGGATCACGAGGTCAGGCATTCAAGACCAGCCCAGCCAACATGGTGAAACCCCATCTCTACTAAAAATACAAAAAATTAGCTGGGTGTGGTGGTCTGCACCTGCAGTCCCAGCTACTCAGAAAGCTGAGGCAGGAGAATTGCTTGAACCTGGGAGTGGGAGGTTGCAGTGAGCCGAGATCACAGCACTGCAATCCAGCCCCAGCAATAGGGAGACCCCCCATCTAAAAAAAAAAAAAAAAAAAAAAAAATTTGGCCAGGCACAGTGGCTCATGCTTGTAGACCCAGCACTTTGGGAGGCTGAGGTGGGCAGATCATGAGGTCAGGAGATTGAGACCCTCCTGGCCAACATGGTGAAACTCCATCTCTACTAAAAATACAAAAAAATTAGTTGGGTGTGGTGGTGCACACCTGTAGTCCCAGCTACTCGGGAGGCTGAGGCAGGAGAATCACTTGAATCCAGGAGGCGGAGATTGCAGTGAGCTGAGACCGCACCACTGCACTACAGCCTGGGCAACAGTGCAAGACCGTCTCAAAAAAATTAAAAATGTTTTGGCCGGTTGTAGTGACTCACACCTGTAAACCCAGCACTTTGGGAGGCTGAAGTGGGCAGATCACCTGAGGTCAGGAGTTTAAGACCAGCCTGGCCAACATGGTGAAACCCTGTCTCTACTAAAAATA